CCAAAGAAGTGTCGTAGGTCTCCTCAAAGTCGGGGTGCTTCAGGTTGAGGTGGGACAGCAGGTTTGAGTAGCCGGTTCCGGCTTGCTGTTTACGGGGAGTACCGCAAAGCTGGCAGCGGTAGTCGCCTTGACCTTTGTCCTCAAAGAAGAATGCGCAGATTTCACGGTTCGGAGCCATCGGGTCGAAATGCAAAGTGAAACTACGTTGCGGAGCAACAGCTCTGTGCTCGTGGCCATCAGTAGTTAGAACAATTGGTTCAAGCCAACCGCGACGCAAATTCACTCAAAGCCGGTATTGTATTGGTATTATTGGGACAATATCATATTGTATTGATTTTGGTCTATTCCAATAATAAATAATTGTAGCCAGACAATACAGTAATTATTGTCTTGATATTATTTTTTCCGACCCCTGCTTTCGAGCTATTTCGCACTTAGAGGAGCCATAGCAAATCACAATAACTGCTTGATGCGACCGACGGGATGGACTTTTTATGACACTTTTTTTTTTACCCTTTTTTGTACCATATCAGAAACGGTAAATCGATATTATCAGCAAAACTGCCGAGAATACCGGTCTATCAGTGCTGCTACTCTTGTTAAGTATTCGGCAAAATGCCGAGGAAAACTAGATATTTACCGGTAAACCTGTAGTTTTAGACATTTACCGGTAGCAGCGGTAGATGCCTGCCAACCGGTTTCTGAAGGCGTCACACGGATCTGGCGGCGCCCTCGACACACCTCTGCGGAGAGCCGGGTTCTTATTCTTTGTTTAGCGCCCTCACGCCACCACTGCCGGTCCAGAGCTCGCATGGCGGACAACCCAACGCGGATCGCATGTCGGCCACCCTACTCGGATTTAGCAGCTTAGAGACAACTGGAATCATTGGCCACCCCTACCCCCAGGGGTGCCCAGACACTTCGTAGTCTGCCACTCGTGGCTCCGTGAAAAAGAACAGCTCTTCAAGAGAATTCGGTACTATGACGGTGTTCCATGGGTCTCGTGGTAAAAGCTGGACAGTTATTCTCTCCAGCGGAGAGAGAAGCCTGCTGCATGTTATTCGGGGCCTGTTCAGAGGCGAATACCTTGGCGATAGCACCTCAATACCTCCGGCCGAGCCGCCCACCATCTACCGGGACGTGCGAATCCGACCGAATGTAGAGGTTTACTTCCGGCTATCGCACTTCGCACTCGAAGAGCGTCTACTTAAGGTGCTCAAGCGCCTGAATGATGACGAGGACATTCGACGCACAAGGGCGATGAAGAGTCAGGCAGCTCGAATTATGTTGAATGGACCTATGAGAAGAGCCCAAGACTATATTACGGCGAGCCCCCAGCAGATGCAATCGGCTTCTACGTTGGCCATCGCGGCACAGCAACATCCTTCAACTCGGAAGGAAAATACTGCGGCCCGTTCTTCATCATATATGCAGGCAAAACTGGCGACCCGCTAAAGTGCTTTAAGGAACACAAAACTTATTCCTCACATCTCGGATCCAAAGGA